CCCCCCACCCCCGCCCCTCCCCCTTCCGAGGACAAAGAGGGCGTGGCCGCCTCCGGCCCCTCCCCCCAGGACCCTCCCCCGAAAGCCGCCCCTCCCCCCCCAAAGGAGGAAGAGGAAGAAGCCCCCGGCCCCGCCCCCACCCCCAGCCCCGCCCCCACCCCCAGCCCGGCCCCTCAAGCCCCGCCCCCTCCCCGGCCCCCGGCCCCGCCCCCTCCCAGGCCCCGCCCCGAGCGGGGGGCGGGGGGCGGGGCCGGGGGGGAGGGGCGGGCGCGGGGGGAGGGGCGGGAGCGGCCCAAGGGCGGCCCCGAGGAGAACAAGAAAAAAGACTCGGAGGTGCTCAAGCAGCTGAGGGCGGAGCTCAAGTGAGTGGGCGGGGCCATGCTAATGAGATGCTAACGAGGGGCTGGGCGGGAGGGGCCGCGGGGGGTGAATTTGGGCGTTTTCCAGGTTTTTTCCCCGTTTTGGGGGAGTTCGGACCCAAATTCCCCCAGTTTGGGGGAGTTGAAAGGGGGTGGAGCCAAGTAAAGGGGTGTGGCTTGTGAATATGCAAATGACATGCAAAAAAGCTGTAAAGAGCCTGAATTTAAATTTGGGGGCGGTTCTCGGGGTCTTTCGTCCTTTCTCCCCCGCCATTGGCCCGTTCCGAGTGAAATAAAAACGGGGCGGAGCCAAGCGAAGAGGGGGGCGTGGCCACTTCAAAGAGGTGGGCGGTATGCAAATGAGATGCAAATGGCCGCAGGAAGGCGCAGGAGAACCAGAAGGAGATGAAGCTGCTGCTGGACATGTACAAATCGGCGCCCAAGGAGCAGCGCGACAAGGTGACGCTGATGGCCGCCGAGAGGAAGAGCAAGGCCGAGGTAATCAGCGCTAATTAGCGCTAACGAGGCGCTCGTTAACGCCGATTGGGCGGCCGAGGGCGGGGTTTGTGCAGGGCTGCGTGCCAGTGAGGGGTTAATGGTTAATTAGGGGGCGGCGCTGGGTGAGTGACTGATTAATTGTTAATTAATTAATAACTCATTAATTTATTCGTTAAGTAACGAGCGTTAATTAGTTGGAAGAGGAGCAGGAGCGCCGCGAGAGCCGGAGCTGGTTTTGGATGATAATTCATCCTGTTCACGTTTAGCGTTTGATTAACGGTTAATGAATGATTAATCAATAATTAGTGATTCGTTAACGATTAATTAACGGTTAATTAACGACGTGTGAGCAGCTGGAGGAGCTGGAGGAGCGCGAGCGCCGCGAGAGCCGGAGCTGGTTTTGGGTGTGAATTCATCCCGGTCACGTTTAGCGTTTAATGAAGGATTAATGGATAGTTAATGATTAATTAATGATTAGTTAATGATTAATTAATGATTAATTAACGATGCGAGCAGCTGGAGGAGCTGCGGGGGCGCTGGCGGGAGCTGGAGGAGCGCGAGCGCCGCGAGAGCAAGAAGCTGGCGGATGAGGAGGCGCTGCGGCGGCTGCGCCTGAGCGAGGAGCAGATCGAGCACCTGCAGCGGCGGCTGGCGGCCACCAAACAGGTGAGGGGCACCTGGGACAGGTGAGGGACAGGTGAGGGCACACCTGGGGACACCTGGGACAGGTGAGGGGACAGCTGGGGACACCCGGGGACATTTGGGACACACCTGGGACAGGTGAGGGACACCTGGGGACAGCTGGGGCAGCTGGAACACACCTAGAACCGAGTCTAGAACCGGATCTAGAACCGAGTCTAGAACCGAGTCTAGAACCCGGTCTAGAACCCGGTCTAGAACCAGATCTAGAACCGAGTCTAGAACCGAGTCTAGAACCGAGTCTAGAACCCGATCTAGAACCGAGTCTAGAACCGAGTCTAGAACCGGATCTAGAACCGAGTCTAGGACCGAGTCTAGGACCGAGTCTAGGACCGGGTCTAGGACCGGGTCTAGGACCGGGTCTAGAAGCCGCTCTGGAACCCAGTCTGGGACACACCTGGGACACACCTGGGACACACCTGGGACACACCTGGGGACACACCTGGGACACACCTGGGACAGGGGAGGGACGGGAGCTCGTTTCACATCCGCCATTTTGCCCGTCCCACTGACGTCACCCACCCTCCCCCACCTGATGACGTCACCACCGTGCCCCACCCACTGATGGCGGCCATCTTGCCCCTCCACCAATGTCCATCTTTCCCCTCCCCCAACGTCCATCTTTCCCCTCCCCCAATGTCCACCTTGCCCCTCCCCCAATGTCCATCTTGCCCCGCCCCCGGTGGCCATCTTGCCCCGCCCCCGGTGGCCATCTTGTCCCTCAATGACGCCCACCTTTCCCCTCCCCCAACGCGCCCCTTGCCCCTCCCCCAACGCGCCCCTTGCCCCTCCCCCAACGCGCCTGGCCCCTCCCCCAACGCGCCTGGCCCCTCCCCCAACGCGCCTGGCCCCTCCCCCCGGCGGCAGGAGGAGGAGGCGCTGCTGTCGGAGATGGACGTGACGGGGCAGGCGTTCGAGGACATGCAGGAGCAGAACCTGCGGCTGCTGCAGCAGCTGCGCGAGAAGGACGACGCCAACTTCAAGCTGATGTCGGAGCGCATCAAGGCCAACCAGATCCACAAGCTGCTGCGCGAGGAGAAGGACGAGCTGGCCGAGCAGGTGCTCGCCCTCAAGGCGCAGGTCAGGCCCTGGAGCCCCCCCGTTACCGCAGCTGCCGCTGCCTGCGGCCTAATAACGGCGTTAATAGCGTTAATAGCCGTCCCCAGCCGCCTCATGGCGCTAATTGCCGCTTGAAAGCCGCTGACAACCCTGTGACCTTTGACCCGTGACCTTTGACCCCGTGACCTTTTGACCTATGATCCGGTGAATTTTGACCCCACGATCTCTGAACCCGTGAGCTTTGCGCATCGACCCATTGACCTTTGACCCCTGACCCCTGTGACCTTTGACCCCTGACCCCTGTGACCTTTGACCTTTGACCCCGAGACCTTTGACCTTTGACCCCGTGACCTTTGACCTTTGACCCTGAGACCTTCAACGATTGATCTTTGACCCCGTGACGTTTTCAGTTTTGACCCCGTGACCTTTGACCCCGTGACCGCTGACCCTTGAACTCTATGACCTTCGACCCATGATATTTGACCACGTGACCTTTGACCTTTGACCTTGTGACCTGTGACCTTTGAGTCCGTGACTTTTGAACCCTTTGACCTTTGACCCCGTGACCGCTGACCCTTGAACTCTATGACCTTCGACCCATGATATTTGACCACGTGACCTTTGACCTTTGACCTTGTGACCTGTGACCTTTGAGTCCGTGACCTTTGACCCTTTGACCTTTGACCCCTGTGACATTTGACTTTCTGACATTTGGCCACGTGACCTTTGACCCCTGTGAGCTTCGACCATTGATTTCGTTAACTTTGACCTTTGACCCAGTGACCTTTTGATCTTTGACCCGTGACCTTTGACCCCACGACCTTTGGGGTTTATTTGTCGTTTAGTAGCTGTTGATTGAGGCTAACGAGCGCTTAATAAACCAGGAGTTAATAAAGACGTAATAGCCCGTGGTGGTGGAGCGATAACCGCTAATAATTGCCTAATAACAGCTAATAAAGGCCCGAACCAGCCGTAACTTTGCGCGTCGCTTTCCCGGTTTTGCTGGTCAGCAATGAATTGAGGGCGGGTGCCTCACCTGGGCAGGTGGAGGCGCAGCTGCAGGTGGTGCAGAAGCTGGAGGAGAAGGAGCGGGGCCTGCAGAGCGCCCTGGGCGCGGTGGAGAAGGAGCTGAGCCTGCGCTCGCAGGCGCTGGAGCTGCACAAGAGGAAGGTGAGGGGCCACAGGTGGGCACAGGTGTGTCCAGGTGTGTCCCCAGGTGTCCCCAGGTGTGTCCCCAGGTGTGTCCCAGGTGTCCCCAGCCCCCCCAGGCACCCCCAGCTGATCCCAGGTGTGTCCCCAGGTGTATCCAGGTGATCCCAGATGTCCCCAGATGTCCCCAGGTGACCCTAGGTGTATCCAGGTGTCCCCCCACGTGACCCAGGTGTCCACAGATGTCCCCAGGTGTGTCCCAGGTGTCCCCAGGTGTCCCCAGGTGTCCCCCCAGGTGACCCAGGTGTGTCTCAGGTGTCCCCAGGTGTCCCCCCAGGTGTCCCCAGGTGTCCCCAGGTGACCCCAGGTGCCCCAGGGTGCCCCAGGTGTGTCCCCAGGTGTCCCCAGGTGTGTCTCAGGTGTGTCCCCAGGTGTGTCTCAGGTGTGTCCCAGGTGTCCCCAGGTGTCCCCAGGTGTGTCTCAGGTGTGTCCCCAGGTGTCCCCAGGTGTCCCCAGGTGTGTCTCAGGTGTGTCCCAGGTGTCCCCAGGTGACCCCAGGTGCCCCAGGTGAGCCAGGTGTGTCCGCAGGCGGTGGAGGCGGCGCAGCTGGCCGAGGACCTGCGGGCGCAGGGCGAGCACGTGCAGGCGCGGCTGCGGGAGCTGCAGGTGTGCGCGGCCGAGAACCGCGCCGCCAAGGACAAGGAATCGCTCAGCCTCAAACGCGCGCAGGTGAGCGGGAACGGCGGGAACGGCGGGGGTGGCGGGGATGGCGGGAACGGCGGGAACGGCGGGAATGGCGGGAACGATGGGAATGGCGGGAATGGCAGGAACACCGGGAAC